AGGAGAATATTAAAAGTGCCATGGACTGCCAAAAGAACCAATAGATCTGTTTTGCAAGAAGTGCAGCCAGAGTGCTCATTAGAGGCCAAGATGGCCAAACTTCGTCTCATACTTTGGACATACTGTCAGGAGGGAACAGCCGCTAGAGAAGGATATCATGTCTGGTAAGATAGAGGGTCAGAGTAAAAGAGGAAGACCCCCAACAAGATGGATTGGCCATGTGGCAGCATTGATGGTGTCAAGTGTGGAAATGATAGTGAGGTTGGCCTAGGATCGGACATTGTTTTGTTCTGCTGTGCATAAGGTCACTATGAGTTGGTTCCTACTTGATGGCACCTAACAACAACAACATTGGTGGCCAGGAGGTGATGGGCTTGGTGGAGCAGCTTGAAACCATGCAGGATTTCCAAAGATAACGGTGCATTCTACCAAAGCCAGTACTGCTGCCTGTTTTTGACCAATGTATTACGACCTCTACATGGGACCACCTGTAAGATCTTTGATGTCATCCCTGTAGTAAAGATTTCATTGTCTGGCCTACTGAAATGCTCAGCATAAATGGCATGGTGCATTCTAGCTCCCATCCTTAGGTGCCGTAACCCTAAAGACCATGTCCCAACTGTGCTGGTTTACTAAATCCGCCATTGGTTGCTTGTCTAGTGTCATCCTGGCAGCCACTAAGTTCATCACATCTGCTTCTCAGTTACTCTTAAGGGGCCTATGGGTGGCCTATTGTGCACATCACCCTCTGTTTCAAATTGGCTACAACTTATTCCACCTGGTAGACCACCTGGCACCCTTAGGGGTGGATGATGGCCACCAACATGCCATATGAGGAAGGGAGGGAGGCCTGTCTGTAAGCTCTGTGATTTTATTACTACAGTAAATAATTCACTGGCTCCTGAAGCGTTCACCGTAAATGGTATGGTGCATGCCTAGCTCCCATATTATTGTTATTATGTGCTGTGGAGTTGGTTCCGACTCATAGCGACTCTGTACAGGGTTTCTGAGGCTGTTAATCTTTATGGGAGCAGAAAGCCTCATCTTTCTCTTGAGCTCCCCTATTAGTTGCTATAAATTCGTTGTGGAGAAACCACTTTCCAACTGTGCCAGGAAGGTCCCCTCAGCTGGTCACCCATTACTGCAATACAAGATGATCCAATTTGTGAGGATATGTATGCCCTCCATGTGCCAAGCCATGTGTAATGCGGCCAGAGGGCAGTGTGGTAAGATTGCTCATTTTGTTTCTGCTCCATTTGAGAGACACCATCACCAGTAATGCCCAGAGCCTTAACTGCCAAACTGCAATGGTCTTCTTTCCTTTGAGCTGGGACTCTCCACACAGCTCTATCAACTCAGTGGAGCTGTAACTGGCAGCTGGAATTCCTGCCTGTGGTCATCGGACTTTCACCTTATGGGTGATTATTGGCCATGTCCTGACGGGGGGAGGAGGGGGGCTGCTCTGTGAAGTCAGGCTCTTCTACAATCACCTCCACATCCAAGTGACTTTCTGACTCACTTCACATCCCAATCACTTTTTCATCAGCACTGCCCTAACTTTTGCTTTGGGTACTTTCCTATAGGATTTTTACAATCCTGCAGTGCCATAGGATAAGCACTTGATTTCAAGGTCATCAGCTGCTCCTCAGAAATCGTACACAGGGTTGCTATGAGTCAGAACCGACTTGACAGCACTTTAACAAGAAGAAGTTATCTTTAACTGCTCATCTTGTTTTCTGAGGCGGCTACTTAAAACGTTAACTGTGGCTGCACATCCCTTCCCAATTGCAGTTCCTTGCAGTGCCCTCACATGCCTCTCCATGGCTAACTGGACATCAGTAGCCCACCCATAGCTAGTACCACTCTCCTAGCCTCTTCCACACACTTAGAGAGATGCAAAATTTCCCACAACCATGCTATGCCGCTTGGTGTTTTGGGGTCATCCTGTATTCACACTCACGGCAGTCCTCACCCATCAGGCATACGGGGCCACACCTCCCCACATGGAGGCTGCTGGCCAACCTGGGATTTTTTTCTCATTGGATGCCTCACCTTCACTAGCCATGCCTTTGGTCTCTTGGCACGGACCAGTAACTTGAAATTTGCTGCTAAATATGGAACAGGCCATGAGACCAAAGAAGGCTGGCAACTCAGTATGTTGTTGTTAAGTGATGTTGCGTCAGTTCCAACTCACAGCACCCTGTATAGGATTTCCGAAGAGCAGCTGGTGAATTTGAATCATCAGCCTTGGGATTCAAACTGACCTTGAGGTTGAACGCGTACCCTGTGACACCACACCAGGATGCCATAGGGTTACAGTATAGGAATTTGTTAAGAGGTGAGCTCTGGTGGCAGCGGGTGTGGGTTGAATCTCCAGGTCCTCCAGTGGGAGGCTGGGGCTTGTACAGCCTCGATGCACAAAGGTGGCTCTACATCAGGACCCTGGGCCTCTAAGGTCACCCCAGCAGACAGTGCACACGAGTGAGTAAGCAGGCAGAAGTGAGCTATTGGAAAGCAAAAGCATAGCTATCTCTGGCCTCACTAAGTCTGTTTCCTCTATAATTAGCAATCTCAGAAACATTTGCTTCTTGCTTTTAGAGTAAGCATTTTATGGAGAAGTGAGATAAATGAAGATAAAAGTCTTGGGTTTAAATACTTTGATTTGACAATAGGAATTAACCTGTATTCCCCAAATGTCCCTATAAATGTGTATGTGCAAACTATAAGAAAACTGGTGAAGAAGAATTATTTTCTTTTGAACAAAGTCATCAACATGATAAAGACAGTTATATTTATTTCATATGACAGTACATTTCACAGGATATATACAGAATGTATATCACTGACTTTAATACTTTACTTCTATAAAGTATATAGTTATAAATATTGTATGCCACATAAGCAATAAAATTCTTACGTATAAACAGCAAACTACTGTAGAGAACAAAGAAGTCACAAAGAGATTCTCAGTGTCTAATTTCTGTTCTGCTTTTAACAGAACTGGTAAATATTTTAATAATACACAGAAAAATGGCTAGTTATTTGCAGCATACCTTTCGACTTTCATAACTTTGTGCATTTTCAGCAACTTGCCAACTGTAATTTTCCTGATAAAGGCTGAGCTGCTGCATGATATGTATATTTTAGACAGTAGTTTATATTCAGTAGGGAACACTGCTCACAGAACTGCAATCTGCACTAGTGAAGTTTACCTAATAATGAATTACCTTGTTAATGGAGAGCAAATACCATATACATCAATCACGTAGATGTTAAAGCCACAGTTTGAACAAGTTAATTCACATTGGAAGCACAATGCTTATAATAATACTGCTGTTTAAAATATACTACTGCTGAAATGATAAGACATCCCCCCCAACCCAAACAACAAAACACAATATAAAACTCACAAGAGTTACTTCCTGACTGTTGAACAGAAAGAGGATTTTCTATAAATATAGTAGTTTGATAACATTTGAGCATTTAGAAAAGTGCCCTTTTTTTCCTAACAGATTTTGCTTACAGTTTAAGTGCAATGCAGTTTGCTGTGCTTTTACATATTCTTACCCATAAACTCTTCTTTTCTGATACTCCTCCAATACACATTTTTAAAGGTAAATGCAGACACAGGAATTTAGGTGGACACATACAACCCTTTGTATGAATGTAAGTGTGAGTTTTAATGGGTAAAGATGATTTAACTTAAACTGAAAACAAAATGATTGATCAAGGAGTTTTCTGATTGAGTTTACATATTGATATCAAAATACTATGCTCTGTAAAAATTCTGTGTACTTCTTCATAAAATTAATAAAAGTAGGATTAGTTGCATATTGGCAGTGCAAGAGACAAAATCCACAGCTAATTTGAGGCATCGCCACCAAAGACTTAAAGCAGCATTGTAGACGTACTAATGTAACTTCTTACGGGGAGTGAGAACGTTATCTGAGCATGTGCCCAATTCAAAACACAACGAGAACTGCTGCTTCTCCTGCAAAAAGCAAAATGCCAAAGTAAAAGCAGCAAATACTAGAGTGTGGGAGTAAAATGGACAACAGATACCTGATGTACAGAGAAGAGAGTACGTTTAGATCTGTTATTTCCAATTAAACTGAGTGGTAATGCACCTTCCCTAATATAAGGCCACAGTGCTTATTTGAGAGGGCTAGAATAGTCACCCACATGACAGCGACACAAAAGATGTGGTTCCCAGCTCCAAGAATGCCCTGCTCCTGGACAGAAAAGTGTATGGTGGCACTAGGGAGGAAAGTAACAGTGGAGTACGTATTTGAAGGGGTAGGGTATAGAATAGTACATAAATTGGGCTCTCTCGTTTGGGAAAGGAAATTTATAAAATGTCCAAATTACACTTTCAGTTGTCTTTCTGGTAATGAGGTATTCAAAAAAAGACTTTGTTAGAACTTTTAGGTAAAAATTTTATTCAAATTATGTCCTCAAATTTAATTAAAAGTTTTATAAAGCTGCAAGTGTGTGTGTATATATTTATATCTATATATCTCTATATATATGAGTACACTTTTAAAGCAGTGCCTACCAAAACTGTTTCAATATAACTTTGGCAGATCTTTGGTAAATATTAATAAGTACCAATTATTAATAAGTATGAAATGGCTGGCAGTAATGTTAACTAAAAGTTGCTTGGACGTTCTAAAATTCTTTAGAGACGACTCACAGAGATTTCTGAATAAGGACCCTTTTTTAAAAGTAGTTTTAAGCACTTTTTATGGTTACTACTCTCTTCTATCCATCTGAACAAAAACACACCAAAACTTCAGTTCATAACAAGAAGGATTTTTCCCTATTTCCAATATACATATATTCCAGCTCTATACACATTAAATAGTGGTAATTTTTTGAAGGTTATCAGTGCTTTCAGCAATTCCTTATTGCACATAATGAATAATGAATGCCCATTTCTTCTGGCTTTACTACTTTTCTACTGTATCATCACATTATCTTTCTGTATACTCTAGGGTTGGGGATACCTTGGATGCTGTGGTTCTGAAAGGATCTCCTGGCAGGGCCGGGCCGGCTGGAGGGCCAGGAGGTGGGGGTGGTCTTCTTGACGGCAACACACAGAAAGAAACATTTGTACCTTTATTCAAGTCATCATCAATTGTCAAGTTTGAGCCAGAAAACGAACCTGGCTGCTTCTGCAGAGAGCCTGGAGAAGAAGCTGACTTCTCTTTCACACCAAAGTCCTCTTCCTCCTCGAAGGTTACCCATCCTCTCGGATTGCTAATTTTATCCAAGGGTTGGCTCTGCAGATCAAAACTGTCCTTGAAGCCATCAAGTAAAGATGAAGGCTTGCTTTTGTTAGGACCAAGTGGCTGCAGAGAAGGGGAAGGGTTATGAGCAACAGGCCCTTCTTTGGAGAACCATGAAGCGCCAGCTGACTCTTGAGACTCAGCTCTAAATGGGTTTCCAGGAACAGCAGTCCTGTCAGTGAAAGGATTTGTGCTGGTCAAGCTAGTGATCAATGGATTTGGAGAACTTCTCATACTTTCCTGGGATTTACTCCGGGCTGGAATTGGAGGCATTGTCGGCATGCAACTTACAGAACTCAGAGGATCAACATTACTTTTTGTTGCAGAAGGCAATGGAATCAACCCTTTTGGGTTTGGGCACAGAGCAGGTGATGGTTGAACAGATAACTGAGCCTTTGATACAGCAAGCAGATTAAATGACAGATCTTCAAATGGGTCACTTCTCAATGATGGTGCTAGTTTGGCAACAGAGACTCCATTTGTTTTCACCTGGGAAAGAAAGAGGACACAGAATAACCACCGTTTCTATTTACTCTTAATAGACCCTCTGCAACCTGTCTCAGTTGGTCTTAGCTTTTAGGGGGCATGTCTAAAATTTAAAAACTAAAAGGCATCTTTGTGTACTTTGCTACTCTGGGGGTTTACAAAAGATGATATAGCTCAAATCTTACTCTTTAAAAACTCCCTCCTAAATAAATCTTTTTACTAAATATATTTTTAATTCCAAAGAAATTAGGTAGAAATTACTTCATGCAAGTATTGAAACAACAAAATGGAGGACTGTACAGAATGAACAAATGATTTTTGTTCAAGTCCAGTCTTACCACACTGTAGCACAAATGTAAGAAACCCATATTCACAATGTATGTTAAATCCATAAAGAAACTTCCAACACCCATGTATGATGATGTGGTTTCATTGTTCTTGTACATATATTTTCATTGAAAATGAATGGAAATTCAATTTAGTGAACAGAAGGAAATTCAATTTAGTGACTGGAAATTTAATTCTACTTTAGCATATTTGTATTCATCAGCTGAAGACACTACAGCTTTTCCTCTTCCACTGGGAAAAATGAATTTTCAAAGCGTTCTTTGCCTTTGACTGTAAGTTCTCAGCTTCAGAGTAAGCTCTGTGAACAATGTGACAACTTTCCTGAATCGACTTTCCTCATCTTGTAAATAAGTGCCGAGGCCAATATGCTTGCTATAATAACCAAGGTCAACACGTATATTTTTTTAATCAGTGGGGAGGGAAAGAAATCCCATTTTCTACTTGGTATATTAACCCTAAAACTAAACTGAAGCTGTGCCCAGTCCTTTCTGTGTGAGAGCTGGTCATGAACTATTGCTGACAGGAGGAGTGTCGGCACTATTTTACAGTCGTACACAGTTCACACTGTCCCCCTCAGTGCCCTTTGTGTCTACTTCATGAAGAAGATAGTGGGAGTGGAGCACAGCTATGGGACTGAGCAATCCAACTGTTCTCATGGGAAGCAAAACTCTGATCCTGGTTTCATGAGCATATCAGCTCGCCAGGTACTTCATTATTAATTAAAAAACAAAAATAAAGGTACTTCTATATAATTATTACAACTAAACCTGGACATGTGTCCAACTTCAAAGACAAGCAAGGAACTTCTGGTTTGGACAGGACAGGATGCGAAAGCTCATAGCTTTCAGTATTTCCACCCTCTCAGAGAACACAATGTTTTCCTAATAAAATGACACTACCCAAAATTAATTGAGACAGTTGTTAAAGTATAATAACTAAATCTTTATGAAATATGTTGAAAAAAAGATCAGTGTCCCCAATTAAATGTAATTGCATGGTACAGAACACCAACTTAGGCACCATTTAAGACCAGGGATGCTCATTTGCAAAAGGAAAGCATGAGGTTAACTTGAAATGTGAATAGCTTTCAAGTATCTGTTTTATTCCATTGCTCTGTTGTTTAACATATTTTTTAATTAAATAAGTACTGAATTAACAAGTAATTTTTTTCAAATAAATATAACAATAAATTTGTACAAAAGGATAAGCATGTCACAGACTAGAAATCTGTTATTTCAAGTATAAAAAAAGATTAGTTGAATTATATGAAGGGGGTTTCAAAAATTCCATGGAAAAATTCCAGTATTTTTCAATTCCATGAACTCTTTGAAGCCCCCTTGTATATGAAAATATGCTTAACTATATTATGTATGGAGCCCTGATGTGGCACTGTAGGATAAGCAGTGGACTGCAACGTCAGTTTGAATCATGAGATCAGAAACCAAATATAGGGGTGCTATGAGTTGGAAATGATCCAACTCATTATATATAACATTAGTTATATTACCAATAACCTCTAGATTATTTATGATACAGAAAAAAATGGAAATATTTTATTCAGCCTGAGACCCAATTCTCTCATGGCAGATTGATCAGTTCACAATATACACATAATAGGAAAGAATTTTATGCTTTGCACAGCTTAGAATAGTAAGCTTGAGACAGATAAATGTTATGCATTTAGATAGCTTTATTCTCATACGTGAGAAAAAATTACTGCAACGTGTAAGTCTAAAGTAATTTGGTAGACGTAGTGTCATTTTGCCCAGACAGACCTGAAGTTACAATGAGAGCCACACCACCATTCATTATAGGAGAATTAATTTGTAACTCAAGCAGGATTTGGGATAACTCGACACTAAAAATGGTTATATTTTTAGAGAAAGGTGTTGGAAGGATCTGTAAATAATCTTGCTGTAATATTAGTTTTCATCGTTCTAAATCATCAATCCTTTCTTACTGAAAGAATCTTGTTGGCAAGACTACAGGCAATCCTCAGATTACAAATGAGTTCTGATCCTAAGTCTGTCTTTCAGTCAAATTTGTATGCAAGTCATAGCTAATGTCACTTTGTCATATGTCTGTTTATAGTCAGACTTCCTACACATAAAAAGAAATGAAAGAACAACTCAGAAAAAAATCGGTGAGAATGGCTGTACAGCTCAAAGCATGTAATCACTGTCACTGAGCTGTACATGTAGGAACTGTGAACTGGTGTGTGCTGAACAGTAGATATCCTCAACCACAACATAACACAAGTTAGGGGAAAAGAAAGAAAGAAGGGAACACTGACTGGAACATAGCTCTATGCTGACCCATGTGGGTCTCCATGAGTTGGAATCAACTCCACAGTCACTTCAAACAAAACAATACACTAAATATAATTTCATTTGGGACTGAATGAATTCATAAAAAGAAACCTTTCTGTTTTCACATGTCTGAATAAGCCCCTGTACACATCACAGATGAGCAAATTGGTATCCAGGGGTGAAGAATGATGTTATCTAGGAAATGAATGCTTAAAGTCAGCCAAAATAAACACAATAATACCTGTATCATTGTCATCCAGAGACTTCTAACATTAAATTAAAATACGAATAAAAGCAGAAATGAACATTTTAGATGATTATGCCAGAGTCCCACAAACTAAGACCTATGGTTCAAATCCAGTCAGTCCCGTTTTTGTAAATCAAGTCTTACTGAAACACAACTAAAAAAATTAAAGAATCATTTCCAGATGCACAACATGTTTAACATAATAACGCAGTAGCAGTGACCTTTTGATGTGTGTTGCAAAGTAGCACCAGTATGTATGTTATTGTGAACCATCACATAGACCTTGAATTTTTAATATCAATAGGCTTTATGGGGGATGGTTCATACTAAAGGTTGTACTTAAATTGGATGTTTGTAAACCTGGGATTGCCAGTATTTAGAAAAAAAGTCACATAAGAAATCTAAGAAACTTTATGTAATTATGTCATCTAATAATTATGTCATGGTTAAATATGAGAATCAAGCTGGTTCTGCCAAACACACTTTCATACCCCTAAAGCGTACCTCCTGAAAGCTATACATTTTAGTTTTGTTAATTTTCATCAAAATTAAGCAAAAAAAAGTAAAACATTAGCAAGAAACATTAAAATGGCTCATAAAATTTTTAACTAGTAAGAATAAAAAGCAAACTTTATGATATGATAACAGAATTTATTAATGTGGACAGGTAGTTTTTAAATGGGTGAATCTTGAGATGTATGAAGCAGAAGATCCATACATCAAAATGTGCTACGACAGATGAAAAGCACATATAAAATTGATAATAATCAGATACCTGTTACCCTGAAGGTTGCTCCTGCTTTGAGAAAGGGAACACAGACATCAAAGGAAAGAGTTAGGACAATCAATCCCAGACCAATCAACAACCCTAGCAATTCAGTCTTCAAAATACCTTCAGTTCTACATTATATACAGAATCCCAGAAAATGGTATTTGCAAATCATAGTGATAGTTTGAGCAACAATTCTCATTCCTTTTATAATTTTGAATGAAATGTATTGATGAATTAGGGTCCATCAATTTTTTGGACCCTAATTTAGACTTAAATTTAGTCTGAGGTTGATTATTAACCAGTTTAAAGTTTTGTTATTGTAAAAATCATTCTAAATAGGTTTCTGGAGCTCTAAAATATTTTAAGCAGCTTAGGATAAGCTTTGGATATGTCATCATTAAAAGAAAAATGTACAAAATGGCATCACTCTGTAAAAAAGCACTGGCCCACTGAAAATTAGCATTAATTTAATAAATGGTCAAGATCCACACTTGTTTCATATTATTTAAATTTTCTTTAAGGCTAGGATCACCATTATTTCACCTCACAATTTAAACAGGGTAAGAAACTAGATCCTACTTTTGTTGTTTAAACCTGAAATCTAAAAAGAAAAAAAGAAAGAAATCTCTTCACCGAATTCACAATAAAAAGCTTACAAAAACAAAATTCACCATAATCTTTCTATAACACAAAAGTATCTTTTTACCTAGTATGCTCAAGAAACAAGGAGCCCTCGTGGCACAGTGGTTAAGTGCTCAAGTGCTAACTGAGAGGCTGGACACTCCACAGAGAAAGATGAGGCAGTCGGCGCCACAAAGATGACAGCCTTGGAAACTCTATGGGCAGTTAGTTCTACTCTGTCATGGACGTTCAGTCTGAGTCAGGAAACTCAATAGCAATTTTCCCCCCCTTAAATTCCCAAGAAAGTTTTAAGTAAGTCTACCCAGATACTTAGACCCTCCATTAAACAGACCCAGAATGCTGGAATTTTCTACTTGGCCTCTTCCCTTCCTGTCTGCTCTCACTTTTATTATAGTGAATCCTGTTATTTTCCTTCGTGTTGCAGTTCTCTACTTCTGGCCCTAAAATGACTCAGATGACTAAGAAGATATTGAAGTCAGGTAGATCAGTGAGGCATTTTTGTATGTTGTTGAGAATATGTAACATGTTGTATAATGATTCATTAGATTTAAAAGAATATTTTCAAATTGAATTATAGAGTCAAAGGACATTTAAATAATAAAAAGTAAAGGTAGGACAAGTATGTAGGTATTCATATTTTAAACAAGTTATCATGTAGACTTTGGGCAGAAAAACAAAGATCATTAAGTGTTTAATCCTAAAACCGTTTAGGTGATTACAAAACTACCAATTTTGTCAGATTTCAAAATCTCACTCATAATTTTTCAACTTATATAGCTACTTCAAAGAATTTTTAAATTTTGAATTCTTTTTTTTGAATAGGTATTATTCTTATGCTTCAAAATAAAAAACATGTAAGAAGGTATAAGATGAAAAACGCTTTCTCCCCTCAAACACAGCCCTGGAGGGGGCTACTGTTAAAGTACTTTGTGAACCCTCACAACGATAGTCTACACACAAATAAGGACCTCCACTCTGGTAGCATGCTGTTGTTGTTGTTGTTAAGTGCCTTCGAGTCGATTCCATAGTGGTTACAAATTGGGCTGCGAACCGCAAGGTGAGCAGTTCGAAACTACCAGCGGTTCCACGGGAGAAAGATGAGGCTTTCTGCTCCTGTAAAGATTTACAGCCTTGGAAACCCTGTCCAGGGTCGCTATGAATCGGAACCGATTCCACGGCACATAACAACAACAACAACCCTCAGAAAAGGAAAAGTGTGCCCATGTATATAATTATCAGAGGAATTTTATATCAACAGCTGAGGAAAAAAGAAAGATTTCAATTCAAAACAAACATCTTTGTTATTTTAATTAATGGAGATATTATAAGATTCAAGAGAGAACAATACCAGGACATATACAAAGCATGTGCTGCTTGACATCAAATCACTAGATTTCAGTGAAAACCAGAAATCACAATAATTAAGAATGATGTAAGCCCAAACCATCTAAATGGATCCAATACTGACTACAAAGATCTGAAATAAGTGAAGAAACCAGGTGTTAGCTCCAACACAGAAAAGAACTATTGTTCGTATTAGAGGAGCTTAAGGGTCTCTCTGAGGAGCTCTGGTAGAGTAGTGGTTACGAATCGGGCTGCGAACCGCAAGGTCAGCAGTTCAAAACTACCAGCCATTCCGCGGGACAAAGATGAGGCTTTCTGCTCCCGTAAAGATTTACAGCCTTGGAAACCCTGTACAGGGTCGCTATGAGTCGGAACCAACTCCACGGCACATAACCACCACCACCACCACCACCACCAAGGATTTCTCTGTACTTACGATTAAGGATCACTTTCTAAGAACCCCTGAGCTAAGCAGCAAATTTTAAAAACTCAGAAACCTCAAAAAGCGAAACCAGGCAGTTATTTAATATGACTAATTTGTGAGGTCAAATGATACTCATTAGCTAAAGTTGTATCTATCTCAAAATGTTATGAATAGAAAGAACTGTTTTCTTCTTATAAAGCTAAGAATTGAAATTAAGTATGTTTTAAGACACTTCCATGTGCATAAAAAATATCAATTTGCTTAACAGTGAGACTTACTTGCTGTTGTGAAGATGCCTCTGAAGGCAAGTTATGGGATGATCTGCTTCGAGGTGGTGGCTGGGGTGGACTTTCCAAAACTGGCTGGGGAGCAGACTGAGGCAACGATGCTGTCACTGGGACAAGAGGCTCCTGCATCTTCTGAACAGGTGGGGGCAGAGAAGGCTGCATGGGAAGGGCAGCCTGAGGCTTCAAGGGTTCAGGAAGATACGCAGAACCTAAAAAAAAACAAAACAACAAATCATCATTTTCAAATGATAGATGTCTTCTAGAAAACCAAGATATCTCCCTCCTTTAGAGAAATATTAGGAGGACACTCTAGTTTATTTTCCCAATAATTAAATCTTATTTTTTATGGTATAAAGAAGGAAGGACACAGATATTTGAATAAGCTATGGAAGGTGAAACATGATGGAGGAAAAAGGAAAAGAAAAAGTGAAAGGAAAGTATAGAGAAAAATGGTACTACTAATACAGTGCCTACCTTTTAGTGCTTCAGATGGTTTGCTTTGGCTTTCGGGAGTCAATCTTCCAGCAGACACCCGAGCATGGCTCTGTGGGGCACTAATAACTCCAGCACGGGGTGGAATAGTCTACAGATGGGAGAATAACATTTGAAACATTTATTTTCAACAGCTAAGATTCTGTGGAAAAGCAGCTTTTGCATCACATTTAATCTCCTATCTGGTACTGTTCCCCAATATGTCATTTTAATTGTTCTTCATTAGTACCTATATAATCATATATGTAAAAATCTTCCTTTTTATTTTGAAGCTATCATGAATTGGTTTACTATATGTCAGGTACTCTACAACATTATAATTTAATCTTCAAAATATCTCTAAGAGGTAAATATTATTTTATTATCCCTATTCTAAAGATGAGGAAATGTATATAACCTGCCCAAGACCACTCATTTGAAAACAGAGCTCGGATCCAACTCAGGTCTAACTGCAGGACCCTTGCTCTTAACCGGTATGCATCATCATCCTAATAGGGGACCCAGAAGATGTTAAAGTTCACGAGGATATGGGGAGAGAACGATTCTGAGCAAATCTGAATAAAGAGGCTTATAAAACAAACACACCCTGAATGTTTTTTCTAAACACAGAAAAACTTTGTAATAACTAACTCAATATTCTAAATTAGATACACTGGAAGACAAACCAACCATTTGCTCTTTTCATATTTTTTCTGAAGGCTCTAAGCTCACAATTCTTATTTTAAGCAAAAGTTATTATGATTGCAATCCCATAAAACTCTTGTTAGTATATTGACTCTATCAAGACTATTTTCCTGAAAGCTAATTAAAACCTTTCTTAATAAAGGATGAGTTGACACCCTCATTAATTACTCAGACAATGATAAAAAGTTGTCCAAATGGGTCAACTCCTCACATACTTAGCTACTCTAAACTATTTATGTTGTTGTCATCATGATGATTTCCCCATGGCACTTTTACCTAAATACTGAAGTAGGATTACTTTTGAAGAATATGCTAATATAATGTTGTTGTTGTTAAGTGCCACTGAGTCAGTTTTGACTCACAGCGACCCCGTATAGGGTTTCCAAGGAGCAGCTGGTGGGTTTGAACTGTTGACCTTGTGGTTCACAGTCCAATGTTGATCCTATAGTGCCACATCAGGAGTCCAATATAATGTTAAAGGTGCCTTATATATTATCTAGTGGAATTCCTTCATTTTAGAGTTCAGGAAATTGAGGCCTTGAAAAGTCACATGTATTTCAATGGTAACAAAGGTAACAGCAAAAATCTGGCTTAGACTCTGGATCCCTTGCCTCCCAGTGAGGTATTGCCTACCGGTCTAGCTGCACTGTATCCGGCAGAGGCTGAGCCTGAGAGGCTGGCCGGAGGTGAGGGCTGACTGCGTCCTGGAACAGAGACATCACATCATGTAGTTAAGTTAAAAAAAATAAATAAGTCAAGAGAAATATGCAACCATGTACGTATAGTTCAAATGTGCATTTCACGGTCCAGTTTTAATGTTAAGTAGCTAAATCCAAGTGTTTTTACCTATGTTATCTTTCCGTGTCATTCCAGGGCTTTTGGGTGCTTTGAAGCAGGAAGGAAAAAAAAATTACTCATAAATAATCAATAAGGCAATACTGCATAACATCAGCTGGCTGTTCTGTTTCATTACCAGCAGAAATGGAAGCATGAGATGGTAACAAAAAAATGTGGTTGTGTTGGATAATGACACAAGGCATTATTATTACCAGTACTGAGTGAAAAAACCCAAAGGAGAGAAAGAAGACTTACAAACACATATTACACAGTCATTTTTAAGTTGAGTTTCTCAATAGTTATTCTCTTATGAACCTTGAAAACATAAGATCGGTTTGTGTGCATGGTCACAAGAAGTAGCCCTACTGTGCCTCAGATATTGACAGACAGATTGCTCCTAAGCAACAGACGAAACTGCATTTTCTAAGTTATGTTACACAAGAGGCTCCTAACTGCACTCTTTGAGGGCTTCATGCCATAGATATCATTTTGGCTAAAGTAATCTTACAATGAGATCTTCTGGGTTTCTATAACAAGTCCTATGACTAAGGTTATATCTTGTTACAAAAATAAATAATAAGACAGACATACTTTACTATTAAATATCTGCCTATGGAATGCAGTGTTAATACATTAAGAGATAGCTGAACGATGCAATAAACTAAGTTCCTTTGGGGTCAAAAAGAACAAGAAGGACTATCCATGGCAGCCATCACAGATTTAGCCTCCTTTGTGAAAACAAATTCAAGTACAATTGTTATATGAAAAATATCAGCCCTTTTTAATAACAATAAGGAGCTCTGGAGGTGTAGCAGACTAAGGACTGGGCTGCTCACCACAAGGTTGGCAGTTCAAACCTACCAGTCAATCCAAGCGAGAAAGATGAGGCTATCTGCTTTCAAAAGACTTAGTCTTAGAAATACTATGGAACAGCTCTACTCTGTCCTAGAGAGTTGTTATGAGTTAAAATCGACTCGAAGGCAGAAGGTTTGATTTGATTTAACAACTGTAATCTTAATGAATGGCCTTCAATGTTTTGAAAGAATTTAGCTCAGCACTAATTAAAAACATTTATGTAATCTAAGATCATCTCCCAAATACTACATTCTTGGAGCTGAATTAATAGTTTAATTCTAATAGGTAATTTTTCAAACTTGAAATTTAATACAGTACACATTTCTAAACATTTGACTTGTTTGAAAAGAATTTTGAAACCCTCTTCAAACAAAACAGTAGAGTAATTTCACTCTAGTATATGGTGGAACCGTGGTGGTGCGAAGTGAAAGCTCGGTGGTTCTTACTCACCAGCCACTCTGTAGGAGAAATATGTTGCAATCTGCCACACTAGAAACCCTATACGGCAATTTCACTTTGTTTTTTAGGGTTGCTGTGAGTTGAAATAAAGTCTAGGACAATAGGTTTTGGTACTCAAGTATATATGAAACAGAGCACAAAACAACGCAAGAATTTCAGGGAAAGAAAATGGATATCCATTAAAAACTGTACATAACATAGAAAGAAAGAAAAAAAAAAAAAAACCAAGATCACAAAGTATGCATAAGAAGGAGAAAGGGAAGTTTATAGTTGGACTTAGAAAATATTTAGTATGCCTTTCAACAATAAAGGGGCTGTCACTTAGCAATAAAATGAGAGGTCAATCTCCATAATGCAAAAGTCTTGTTACCTTCCATCTCTCTCCTAGCTACCCCAGGACTGGGAGGGGCTCCAACACCTTTTTGAAGAAAGAACAGAAGCTGTATAATGTTTAGGGCCCACAGCACAAAATTAAAAGGCAGGCAAGGCAACACTGCTGCATTAAACTTACTTTTACAAAAAGGCTATCTAATTGTTTTAGATTTCTTCAGAGACATATCATACAAAACAATGTCCAAACCTGAGTCCTCCCTTTCCTCAAACAGAAGAATAAAAACGGAATGGCAGTTTTGTTGTTTAAATAGTTGAGATTACTTGTAGTGAAGAATTAAAAAAAAAAAAAAAGCCTTTGCTTTATAATCAACTCATTCGGTATATCCAGAGTTAGATCTGGATCACTACTAACAACTCCAATCTTTCTGCGTCTATAAAGATTCACAGTCTTGGAAGCCTATGGGGCAGTTCTATTCTGTCTTACAGGGTTACTATGAGTTGGAACCCACATGACATTAATGGGTTGTCGTTTGTTTGTTTGTTTGGCATATTATGCAGACACAGAAGAAGTTAGTTTTTGAGAAATTAAAAAAATTAACTAAAAATATGATATTGATTTTATCCAAGTTTACTTTCATAAAGGAGTTATTGATTTATAGGGCAAAATAAAATATATTGCAAATACTATTTGTAAAGGAATTATCAAGAGAAAAACTTTTTTGAATTGAGTTTCCAAAATAAGCCAGTGGGTTGTTAATGTAACCTGCCATATATTAACTTTTAAAAGATACTTTTTACATACAGTTTACCTAATTAAAGTAGAAGATAAATAGAATCTATCATCAAAATTAAATAAGACTTTGAATCAGTAAAAAAAATGACATTTTCTGTAAAAATCAGTGGAAAAATGATCACCTGGAAATACAGGTATACCTTGCTTTGTGGTGCTTTGCAGATGTTACAATTTTTATATATTGAAGGCCTGTGGAAACCCTGCACTGAACAAGTAAGTCTATCATTGCCATTTTCCCAAAAGCATGTGTTCATCAATTCATGTCTTTGTGTCACATTTTGGCATTCTCAGTATTTTAATCTTTTCATAATGCTTGCACATTTAAATAGGCTATGGCATAGTACAAATACGTAACTTTTTATATGCACTGGGAAATAAAAAAAAAAAAATGAAAGCAACTCACTTTATTGTGATATTCACGTTATTGTGGTTGTCTGAAACTGAACTTCAATACCTCTGAGGTATGCCTGTATTTTACAGATGCTCTAGTGCTGAAATAATTTGACTGTACTTATTATATAAAATTTTAAAATCTATTCATAAAATCAATCTTTACTATCATTAGGCATTGGTCAATAATGCCATTAGGCAGCTTGAGCAAAAATAGATCAAGACACATGTATAGTGGACTTTAGTAATATTAAACCTGCCTCTTCTTTTTTTTTTAGAACCAGATTAAATACACTTGTCAAATGTATACCTTTAACAGTTTCATGAGCTCTCACGTGTATAAAAGTTTACATTGAGCTTAACCCAAACTAATATTTTAAATAAAAAGTGGTGGATTCTTTTAAAATGCCTTATAGAAAAAAAGAGAATCATTTAACTCTTTAACTTAAATAAGATGAAGCGTAAGTTTTATGACAAGTTATGATAAAGCCATGCAAAGTGAAAGATGTTTCATATAATTATGGTAACTTTAAACTAATTGATCTAATCCACAAACTACTCAAGAAGGAATGTACTAGAGCACCACCAATCAAATACTTAATAAAAGATCTGTGTTCACGGTACCTGAGTCCCTTGTCAAATTAATATGACTTTTGGATATTAAATATTTATAACCAGAATGCCTATATTTTCAAGAAAAAATGCTTCAGTAATGTACTAGGTAATGATGAGTAGCTCAATTACGTTCACCTGCAAAATAGAAGCCCTCATAGACTAGTCCTGTTCACTACTGAAACTAAGTTCTAACCTTTCACTTGACAGGAAGATGAGAGAAGTTCGGAACTCATTTTAGAGCTCTTTTTAATCAGTAGCATAAATGTCCTTCATTGAAACACCTATCAAGCAGGCCTAAAGTATATTTCATTCACAGGATTCAAACATTAATGAACACGTTGTTAACAAATGTAAATGGTTACCTCCAAATTCTTTTCTAGCAGGTGCAGGACTCCTAGCCCCTTATAGTTCATAAGAAAATATGCAGCACAAAGGAAATGACATTAAACAAAGAATTGAGATAGCAAAGAGTTACTACAGCATTCATTATTTCAAACATCACATATAGGAAGAATAATTAGGAACTAGGTTTGTTTTTTGAAAAAATATTTTTCAATGTATATATTCTTAAAAATTATTTTAGACATAAAATAGTTGCTTACAAAGAACATTTAAATGATATAAGCACTTGATTTCAAATAGAATATTTGTATTTTTCAGTTCTAGTTATAAATTTTATAGAAATTGGTATCCTAATGATTTTAAACTTAAAAAAAAATCTAAGGTGAAGATTTTTTGGTGGAAATTAAAATGTAGCTTTACCAAAGAATAATTCACATGCCTAGCACTACATCAAATTAGCAAAAATAACTCATGTAGCTCCATGTACATTTATCAGAAGGTGGCTATGAAAACAAGTTAGAGAAATCCAGTTAATAAGTCTAACAGATACCATGTTCTGTAGAGAAAAGCTGACAATGATATAACAGATTCATATCCAGTAGCTAGAGATCTGAATATGTAAAGCATTTAGAAACAGGGTGGATAGGAATTTTAATACTGGTAGAAATGGTACATATATGTTTGTTACCTGATGGTGGAGGTGGTCTTTGTGGAGGAGCTGGGCGTGCGGGAGGAGCAACTGGGCGGGGAGGAGGCGGCCGTTTAGGCTCTAAGATTTGAGAAGTATCTTTTTGTTGCAACTGTGTTGCTGGCTGAGTGTCCACAGGAGAACCTAAAAAGGTACATTTATTAGGTAAGAAGATCAGACTACGGTGGGTGTTGGCAGAAAGGTACATAGTACTTCACATATATAATGTGTGTGTATAAAATTTTTTAGTTTGTAAACTAAGCAATTCTACAACTAAATCATCCTTTGTGACCATCTAAGAAACAATGACAACTCTATGTTGATTCTTAGCTGAAAGCTGATTTACTGGGTGTCCCTATCAAGAAGGCCCAAAGTATTGAGTTAAATTCTGTGCTGATTGGTAGAGAGAAGAAAAAAAGAAAAAAGCAGAGTCTCTTCTTTCTCTCCATCTTAAATTGATTTAAGGAAGCCAGTCCCATAAGAGTAGAATAGAAAAACTAGACAAGTTTATGAAACAGAAGTTAGCTTCTTGAAGATATTTTACCGGGCATGGAATTGTGGTTGCTGTTTTAGTATCAAGTCAAAAATCTGTAAAGGGTTTTCAAGGAGTGGCTGCTGGGTTTGAACTGCTGACCCTGCAGTTTGCAGTCCAGTGCTTATCCTACAACTTATCCTACAGCGTACCCCAGGACTATGGAATAGTGACTAATAACTTAATGTTAACAACTTCCAAAGACAAACTTAATAACTTTGGAGGAAAAATTACTATAACGTTCAATTTTTTAAAATTGCTTTGTCTTCCCTTGCTTTATACTGTCATATTGGTTATATATAGAAATATATTTAAGTCCAAATAATTCATTTCACATACTAAAACAAGCACAGATGTATAAACCAGAACTAGTTGTCATTAAGTGAAACCCCATGAGTGTCAGAGTAGAACTATGTTCCATTGGGTCTTCAATGGATAATTTTTCAGAAACCAATCACCAGGCCTTTCTTCCAAGGTACCTCTGGGTGGGCATCAACCTCCATCCTTTTGGCATGCAGCTAAATATATTAACCATTTGCACTATTCAAGGACTTTATTTAGATTTATGTTGTTGTATGCCACGTAGTTGATTCTGACTTATAGCAACCTTACATGACTTTCTTATATACTTATATACTGCCAGGCCTTTCTTCCCACAGACTGGTGTGCAAACTGTTGAACTTTCAGTTAGTCCAAATCAATGGCATTTATGACAAAATGTTGCTGTTGCTACTATTAGTTGCTATTAACCGTCACAACAGAAAACTGTCAACTGTAAGACATGGACAAACCTGACTACATAGAAAATGGACTTTGAAATTTTTTTTATCCTATTGACAGTAATGATGAAGCAAGCCTTCTTTCTCAGTGAGGGTCCATAATTTATAAATTTTCCTCCTTTGTATGCACAGAAAACAGAGTATACTGTAGCACTGCAAGTATATAAAAGTTAAGTAAGAATGACTCCCTAAAGGAAATCCAACAGCATGTGAGCTCTGACCATGTAAAATCAACTACAAGGTTAAAAGAAAGTCACATGAAACCTTAAAATATGTACTTTGTGAACTTGGAGGCCCCGGAGTTCTTGATGGTGCTCGACTTGGTCTTATGGGAAGGGATGGTACAGGACCTTCTGGAATGGTAGGTGACTGGCAGGGACTGGTATGGGGTGAAGAGCTCGGTGAAGTGCCAAGGCCAGAGCTTGAAGATGGCTGGAGATGCTGAGGAAGAATTTCCTCTACTTCAGCATTGTAGTCATCAACATCACCTGAGGAAAAGTGCAGTTAAAGAAGATTCCATCATTTTTACTTTCACAGATTTTTTGCCCCCCTAACCCATTCTAAAGCATTAAATACATAAAATAAACATAATTATTATTACATTGCAAATATACATGAAATAAGCACATTTGTTGTTAAGTGCCATCAAATTGGTTCCAATTCATAGCAACCCTGTATAGGGTTTCTAAAGAGCGCCTGGTGGGTCTGCACTGCTGACCTTGTGGTTAGTAATCCAGTGTTTATCCTACAGCACCACATAGGCATATATAAACAAAATTCTGCGTATAAAATTTGAACAAAAAAAAAAAAAAAAATTAGAACCAGTACAAACTCTCTTAAAAAGATACCCTACCATCACCTCAGAGCAACAACAGGATGTGAACGCATACATCAGTTCCCAAATTTCTGAGCAGCTATCTTAGTGATAAGCCCTGCTGGCGCAGTGATTAGGGCACTTGACTGTTAACCTAAAGGTCAGCAGTTTGAAGCCATTAGTTGCTTGCTGGGAGAAATACGTCTATACGAATTCACAGCCTTAGAAACCATATGACGCAGTTCTACTCTCTCCTACTGCGTCACTGTGAGCTGGAATCAACTTGATGGCAGTGGTTTTGAGTTTTAGTAACTCAGTGATTGTTCTCCTCACCAAACTTTTCTACTGTGCTGTATGGCACCACCTCTACACCGATCCTGGTTATGGGCCTTATGGTAAACAAGCTCTCAAACAGCTGCAAGTCACAAACCCTTCCCTAACAGTCTCCTGATTACTCATGCTCCCCTCACCCAACGTACACCTGTTTTGTTTTGGCTGAGCACTGACTCTCTGCTGAGGCCTTCTGATCCCCACTTAGCTCAGGGCTGGAGAGTGGGGTTAGGAAATACCTTCCAACCTAATCCCAATTCCAGAACATTTCATCTTCCAACCTCAAACAGAAAGGCCTAGATTTCTGAGGCTACGACATAGGAATTCATGTAATGCTGTTGCAATAATCTCCATCCTTCATTCATCTGGTCACCTGAGCCTATTCATGAGGACTGAGCAGAGAGCAAGATGGTAAACTGGGTTCTACCAACTTTCTGTGTGACATCAAGGTCCACAGGGACAGGCCATTCAACACTCAAAAAATGCCCTGGTCATATGCTTACTGACACTCACCTTTACTCCAAACACATACACTTCAAATACTGCTACCTCTCAGAACTGCACTATAAGCTCAAATACTTCAGTTTGACCACTACCTCTCAGTCTTTCAGCTCTCTCCCTCCATTACTCTTTGATCCTTTGACCGCATCAAAGGATCCAGAATCCTCTACTTGTAACCCATATCCGACTTGACTTTCTTCTGTAACTGGTGTGGCACCATAAAACTCAACAGCCACTCCTCAGAAACCCTACAAAGGGTCACTATGAGTTGGAACCAACTCGACAGAACTTGAAAACAACAACATATCTATCTTTAGATTCTATGGTTCTTCCCTTCAAACATTTCTGTACTTCATTTTTCTTCCATCATTCCTGCATGACAAAATCCCAGCCCTGAGCTGATTCCACCATTTACTCTCTTTGTAATTACTACTAAAGGAAGCCACAGGGCCCCGATGGTTGCACTGCCAACCTCATCTGGGATTTTGAAGCTGCTGGTGATCCATACGTGGTTAGCTCTCCCCTTATCCATTCTCCACAGGAGCTGTATCTCAAATCTTCTAGACACTACTGAAATCATGGGTTACCCTACTCCAGCAGATAACTTCACCTCCACAAGAAAAGCCATAAGATGAACGCCCCCTTCAACAACTTGCTCTTGAGACAGATATTTGGGGGTGGAGTGAATGAGGTCCAACTGACTCCAGTTTTTTCAATAACCTTTCTCAAACAATTATTCTGTCTTGTCTTACTCTGGTATCATCAGTCCTATCTCTTCTACCAGTGCTTTTACATCAGCATTAACTATTCTCAAGCCTCTCCCACTTAAAGACACCACTTTTTGGATCCTCAGTCTCCCTGGAACAACTGTCCTCCCCACACCTTACTCCCCATCTTAGTCAAACTTCTTTAAAAAGTTGTCCACAGGCATTCTCCACTTCTTCACCTTCCATCCAAACATCTGACTTTTTATCACACCACTGAAATTACTTTGGTGAATGCAATTAACAACATCCCTCCCTGACATTATATCCAAAGGTCAAGTCACAATCTTCATTTTTCCTTGTGCCTCAGGTAGGACAACACTGACCACTCCATCCTTTTTATGCTCTCTTTCCTTGATTTTTACACCATTATATCCTGGTTCTTTGACATCTCTGATCGCTTCTTTTCATTTCTCTTTTATAGACAGCCTTGTTCTGCCTATGGTTAAAGTCACTGTTGGTTCCTAAAGACTCGATCTAAGACTAGTCCTCACCCTTTTCTACACAATCCTACTGGACAATCAAATAAATGTCCATGGTTTTAGCTGCCAGTAGAAACTACAGGAGTCCAGAGCTTTCTCCTGAGCACAAGACCCATATAACCAGCGACCATCATCTCACCCGACTGACTCAATGGACACTTTAAAATTCAAAAAGTTCAAAACCATATTCAGTACAGTCATGAAAACCTCTTAGCCATAACCAAACACCTCCTGGGACTGAGATACTGGGCTTGAGGGCTAGGGACCAAAGTTTCAGAAGACATCTAGGTCAGTTGGCACAACACAGTCCACAAAGACAATGTTTTACATCCTATTTTGGTGAGAAGCTACTGGGGTCTTAAAAGCTTGTGCATGCTGATAAGAAGAGAGGGCATATGCATAAGAGCACCCACACTTGCAGATAATACCCACTTATCCTGGCTTCAGTGACTGGATGATAAAAGCTCAACCAGAAGTAAAAAGAAGAGGGGAAAAAAAAAAAAGTATTGTCATACAATTTGATGAACTTGACCTACATCTATGGAAGCAGTAGCTCAAAAGAGGGAACAAGTCCTTACAGCAAGAATCATTCCCACCCCCTCCACACACAGAGTAGACAGGGATGGGCAACTTGGACATTGGCTACCCAAAATGGGGAGCGGGGGGCTACAAAGGCAAGAAGTGACTGGCTTACAAGCTTTCAAGAGGGAACCTAGATCCAGACGGTCTAGAGGAAGGTAGAATCTCAAGTGAGTAGTATTCATTCTGACTAGGCAGGGCTGATGCAATGAAATGTAGATGGGTCTCTTGTGAAACAATAGTGAATAATTGTTATCAGGACTGATTGTGAGGATTGGAAATGTAAAGGTAGACGTTTTATAGCAAGGAGGGGAGTGATTAACTTTTCAGTCTAGGAGTGGAGGTCCCTAGGACCATCAAGGGAGAAGAGCAGAGAGCGGGACCCTACCCAGAGAAGCAGTGATGCCCGAAATGGAGCCAGAGATGATGATGTGAAGCAATGGAACAGTTGGAGACTTTAGATCCAGAGAGGGAGAGCGACTGTGTGCTGAAGACCTGGGGGGCACGGGGGAAGGATTGCAAGGAGGGTATTGTAACCATGGCAATCAGACGATATACGATAGAATGAATGTAAAACTAATGTTCTCCCATGTAAACTATCACATAATTCACAATAAAACATTTAAGAAATTAAAAAAAAAAAAAAAAAAAAGCTTGAGCACGGTCTTTGCTGTTGGCTTGGTGGTTACTGTCGAAATGGGCAAGTTCATGAAAGATGAGAGGTTGGTGCTGTTCCTGGCTGGATGCTACTCTGGACGCAAAGCCATCATTGTCAAAAACATTGATGATGGCACCTCAGATCGCCCCTACAGCCACACTCTGGTGGCTAGAATCGACAGCTATCCCTGCAAAGTAACAGATGCCATGGGCAAGAAGAAAACTGCCAAGAGGTCAAAGATCAAGTCTTTTGGGGAAGTTTAGCACTATAATCACCTCATGCCTACAAGGAGGTGCTCTGTGGATATTCCCTTGCACAAAATTGCCATCAACAAGGATGTGTTCAGAGATCCTGTTCTTAAATGCAAGGTCTGCTGGGAAGCCAGGGTCAAATTTGAGGAGAGGTACATGATGGGCAAAAACAAGCAGTACTTCCAGAAACTGTGATTTTATATTTTTTTTCTTTCAATCACTAAAAATAAAATAAAAGCAAACCAAAAAGCTTGTGAGTGGCCATCTAAGTTACAACTATTGGTCTCTTTCCATCTAAAGCAAAGAAGGTTGAAGAAAACCAAAGACTCAAGGAAACCTAGACCAAAGGACTAATGGACCACAGGAACCACAACCTCCACTAATTCGAGACCAAAATAACTAGATGGTGGCGGCTAGCATCACAACCACTCTGGCCAGTGGATTGAGAAAAAGGAAGAACAAGATTCAAATTCATGAAAAATAAGACTTATTTACTGCTCTGAGACTGGGGGAACTCTCAAACTTATGTAGTCTGTAGACACCTTTCTAACTTAGAACTGAACTCACCCCCAGATATCACCTTTCAGTCACATAAAATGCCTATATGGTGAACAATTAAAGTGTAGAGGAACATGATCCTCAAAACAATCAATCATACGAGACCAAGAGGGCAGCAAGCAAGGCGAAGTTAAGAAGGCAAGAAGGGACAGGAAAACTGGGCAGAGGGAAATGGGGAGCCCAAAGTGGAAATGGGAAAGTGCTGACAATTGTAGGGGTTGCAACCAATACAAGGAACACTTGTGTATTAGTTGCTGAATGAAAAACTCATTGCTCTATAAACTTTTCCCTAAACCACAATATTTATAAACAAAAGAAAACATACAACAAATTCATCTCCCATCCTATACCCAAGCCTCCTCTTGTATCCATGTTCCTTCATTTATCCCCTCACAAGCCACACCTGTACAATCGCCATTCAAACCTCCTTTCCTCTGTGCACTCATCTTCCTAGATAATTCTTCTCTACCCTCTTTAATTTAATTCTAACTCAGGTTTTAGAGTCTCAAATTTCAATTTCTTTGGGAAACCATTCCCAACTTCCCAATTCCAGGTTAAGCAACTCCCATGAGTTCCCAAACATTGTCATCATCTAATTTGTGTTAATTTAAACCACATCTGTTAAATTTCCATCACCCAACATGTACTTGGATTCTTGGTGTGATGCTGTAGAATAAGAATTGTACTGTGAACTACAAGGCAGGTGGCTAACCCCCAGTTGCTCCTTGGAAACCCTATACAGGGTGGCTGTGTTGGAACCAAGTCAATGGTACTTAATACAACAGCAGCATAAATGTGTGAACTATGTAAATGAACTTTGAAAACTAGAGCTTAATTTTATAAGTGCTCAATTCTTAAATGTAATATCTAGTTATATAGGTATTACAATATAGCGTATGTCATTTTACAAACTAAGATAGACATTTTAATGAAAAACATGCTACAATAAGACAGCTTTCAAAGTAACTGCTATCAGGACAGACTGTGAGGGTTGGAAATGTAAAGGTATATGTCTTGTAACAAAAGGTGGGGAATGATTGACTTTGCAGTTCAGGAGCTGAGGTCCCTGGAACCATCAATGGAGAAGAGTGGAGTGCGGGACCGTACCCAGAGAAACAGTGATGGCAGACATGGAGGCAGAGATGATGACATGGAGAGATGGAGTGGCTGGAGACTATAGACCCAGAGAGGGAGAGGGGCTGTGTGCTGACGACAAGGGGGCAGGCTTGCAGGGTATACCCTTTGGTTGGTTGATGATGCATGGCGGGGATTTTAACCATGGCAATGAAACGATATATGATAGAATGAATGTAAAACTAATGTTCTTCCATGTAAACTATCACATAATTCACAATAAAACTTAAAAAAAAAAAGATATACAATAGGATGAATGTAAAGCTAATGTTCTCCCATATAAACTATCACATAATTCACAATAAAACTTAAAAAAAAAAAGATATACAATAGGATGAATGTAAAGCTAATGTTCTCCCATATAAACTATCACATAATTCACAATAAAAGATTTAAAAAAAAAAAAAAAAGACAGCATTAGAGAGCAAATGTATTTCTTAATAGTGTTTAAGGAAATTATTATATCCAGATAACCTGTCCCAAATTCCACACTTAAAATGGCTACATTTATATGGGTTGGCTCCATTTCAAATGCATATATCACTACCTACTTTGAACCTTTAAAAATTACTTTGGAACATACTTTTTTTCTTTCTTTCTTTAAAAACATCTTTTATTGTGTTTTTGGTGAAGATTCACATTAGCAGTTTAGGTTACCATTCAACAATTTCTACACAAACTGTTCAGTGACTGTTACATTGTCTACAATGCATGAACATTCTCATTCTGATGGCTCTGGTTGTTCCATTTCCAGTAATCTACTTTCCCTGCTCCCTTATGTTCTTATCTTTATTTATTTTTTAATGTTTTATCATGAGTTATGTGATAGTTTGCATGAGAGAACATTAGCTTTACATTCATCCTATCTTATATCGTTTACACTGCCATGGTTACAATCGCCTCCATGTATCATCAACCAACCAAAGAGTATACCCTGCAAGCCTGCCCCCTGGTCATCAGCACACAGCCCCTCTCCTCTCTGGGTCTACAGTCCCCACCCACTCCATCTCTCCATGTCATCATCTCTGCTTCCATCTCTGACGTCACTGTTTCTCTGTGTAGGGTCCCGCACTCCACTCTTCTCTCTTGATGGTCCCAGGAACCTACGCTCCTGGACTGCAAAGTCTATCACCTCCTTTTGCTACAAAATGTCTACCTTTACATTTCCAACCCTCACAGTCAGTCCTGATAACAATTATTCACTATTGTACCACAAGAGACCTATCTGCATCTCCTTTCATCAGCCCCGCCCAGACAGATTGGATACTACTCACTGGAGAGTCTACCCTCCTCTGTGCCCTCTGAATTTAGGTTCCCTCTTGAAAGCTTGTGAACCAGGCACTTCTTGCCTTTGTGGTGGTGGTGGTTATGTGCCATGGAGTCGGTTCTGACTCATAGTGACCCTGTACGGGGTTTCCGAGGCTGTAAATCTTTATGAGAGTAGAAAGCCTCATCTTTCTTCTGCAGAACAGCTGGTAGTTTCGAACTGCTGACCTTGTGGTTCGCAGCCTGACTTGTAATCACTACGCTACCAGAACTCCTTCTACAATAGTAGGAGATTGCCCATCCCTGTCTACGTTGTGTATTGAGGGGGTGGGGACGACCCTCTCTGTAAAGATTTGTGGAACGTACTTTTGTAGCAACTATTTTAGATTCATTTCTAATGTCAGAACACTCACCCTGAACTTAAAAAAATTTTTTTTTTTTTTTTTTAGCCATCACTACAATTCATAGAGTGAGACAGGACAGCAATAATATCAAGTTGAGCTTTTACCACATAAAAATATAAACCAACACCTGCAAATGCCTTAATATTTGAACAGAAATAATAAATACATTTAAAGTGTAGGTACAACTTGAAAGGACATGCAGACCAGCCAGGAGAGGCTAGAAGAACAGAAGATACTTCCTGAAAGAAAGACCAGCAGGAAAAAACAAAAACGGCAGTCTGTTTGGCTATTACACAAGAGCAAGCAAGCTGTTCACCAGAGAATCATCAGAGCTGGCAATCAAGTCCTTTCAGGACAAACACCCTCCAAGACTGAAACTCAAAGGGAACACATAAGCAGGCATGTAAGCTAGCTGGTGACCACATTGGTTTACTTGTGAGTGGAAGTGGGGGAAAGTCAGTAATGAAGATATGGGCTGAGTTTGACCACATTCCATAGATTTCTGTTGATCTGAAGATGAGAGAGAATAAAGGAAGGGCTGGTTGGTCCAAAGTTTGGGGAGACTTGGGAACTCCTGAGCCCATGAACCCTGACACAGTCACGGAGGACTAAAGCTGAGAGTGAAGTGTCCCGCTGATATGAAGGGGGGAGAGACACACAAGAATGCCCAAACTTGCAGATAGTGCCCATTTGACCTAGCTTCGATGGCTTGATGACCCGAGCACGATTAGAGGAAGATAAAGAAATTTGATAAAGAAGTCAAGTGTAAATTGCTATAATTTGATGAACTTGACTTAGTAGCTCAAAATACCAACTGAGAGGGAAGGAGTCTTTACATCAAGTATCAATCCTATCCCCTCTGTATACAGTGCTGATAGGGATCTGCAATTTAGACATTGGCTACCTAAAATGGGGGTGGGGGAGGGCCTATAAAGGCATGAAGTGGCTGACTTATAAGTTTTTAAGATTCGGAGTATGCTAGGGAAGGTAGAATCCCCAATAAATAGTTTTCATCTTGTCTAGATGGGTCTCGTGAAAAGAGATGGGGATAAATAAGAGTCTTATGATACAATAGTTAGTAATAGTTATCATGACTAATTGGGGCTGTCACAACTGTAAAGGTAGAAGTTTTGTAACAAAAAGGGGGGAGTACTTAATCTTACATTCTAGGAACAGAGGACCCTAGGACCACCAAGGGAGAAGAGCATGAGCGGAATGTGGGACTCTATCCAGAGAAGCAGCAACACCAGAGATGGAGGCAGAGATGATGACATTGGAGAGACAGAACAGCTTAGGACTCTAGATTTTTGGGAAAAGAAAAGTTGTGAGCTGGAGGGCGGGAGGCAGACTTGCAGAATGTGTCCCTTGGTTGTTTAAATGATTTTATATTCCTGAGTGTTTCTGAGTACATTCCCCACTCTCCCTCAAAAAACAGGGAACAGAAGCAAATACTGTTGAATGATGATGCAGGGAGGGGATTCTAATCATTGCAATGAAACGAAATACGATAGGATGAGTGCAAAACTGATAATTCTCCCATGTAAACCATCACTCAATTCACAATAAAAACTAAAAAACAAAAAACCTACTGACAATAAAAAAAAAAAATTAAAAAGAAACATCAGGCCAGCAATAATCACACATGATAGCAACAACTGTGGGGTTGGCACAGGACTGAGCAGTGTTACTTTCGTTCTGTTGTGCATTAAGTGTTGTGACTTGATGGCACCTAACAACACAGATGGCATTACACAAGACTTGATGGCATTACAAAGTAATGCCTGTAAAAGCAATAGTTGTGATACGCTCCGTCTATAGAAAGTAAACGATTCATATTTATAATAGACAGCATCATAAGCGCCTGCCTTGAGCATTATGCTCTTTTAAGAAGTATTTTCTTGTTGTTAGGTGCTGTTGAGTCACTTCTGACTCACAGCCACCTTGTGCACAATGGACTAAAACCTGCCTGCTCCTGTGCCATTCTCACAATCATTACATTCCAACCCATTTCTGCTGCCATTGTGCCAATCCAGCTCACTTGGGGGTCTTTTTCTTGTTCTTTTCCACTACATAAAGTGTTATGTAAAGCACACTTGAACTACAGAAAAACGCTTGGTATTTCTGCAAGATAAGAACTACTTTGCTCCCATTTTAAGGGTTTTTAAAGGTGACTGAAAATTAAAGTTGACTATTAAAAATAATATAACTAATAAATAGTTTAAAAAAAGTGGCAATGTTATGTATGAGATATTAAAAACTGCTTTGAAAAGTCACTTTAAAAAAAAAGTGCAGGTACAAACAAAAATCAACACAATATAATGCAAAATATCATTTAATACTGCTATCTGTGCTCCAGGAATGAGGGGAAAGACACATTTAGATACTAAGGTTTTAATGATGAGAAGAACATGTATCTAGAAGTAGAGAGTAAATGTGTTCAATAAACAAACCTTCCATGTCAAAGTCTGCTGTGACCTCGGCATCTTCACCAAGCAGTGTAGAGCTGGCTGATGATGGTAATGTCACACTGATTTTCTCCAAACTCATTTCTTCTTCCAAAGTTTTGATCCATTCAGGACTTTTCAAAGTGATAGTTATAGTCCGATTCAACAACTAGTTGAATAAAGAAATATAAAATTTTTTTTTACTGGCATAAAGAACGGACTATTTTGGGATAAAATGGCTGCATTAGTTGTACTATGGAGTTGTGTAAAAGCTAACTGAGTTAGACACAACTCAATATAATTCTTTAATACACACTGAACTTTTAATCTAGTTTTAACACTGCTCCCAACTCTCCCTTGAGAAGCCCAGGGTGAGACAATGAGAATGATTATACAGCTTGAAGAATATTAATCAGTGTCACTGAATTATACATAAATAAAACTGTTCTTATGGTTTATATTCACTATGTATATTTTCAACATAATAAAAAAATAACAAAAAACCACATTTTTAATAGAGCTTGGTGCTGTAAATAAAGGTCTTCTTTCTAGGCTGTAATATACCAGAAGAGGAAGTTTGAGGAAATTCTTACTGAGTTGCCTGCTGTTGAAGTAATTATGCCTAGATTTTACTCCATCTGTATAGTGATCATATATTTACAAATTTAAATTTTGTTCAACATTTAGGAAAAAAATTGACACTACATAGAAACAAAACTGTTCCATGCCGGAACAAATCTTTACAGTAAGGATCATTCCCACCCCCTCAGCACACAGGGATAGGCAACTTAAACATTGGCTACCCAAAATGGGGGGGGGGGG